TTTTTTTTTTTCGGGCGGTTTTCCCCCCTTTGGGGCGCTTAGGTCCATAAAGTTCTGGAAAAACGTTGTTGGGGGAAGGTTTCCCAAAAAAAACACCCACAAGCCCCCCCCCCCCCCCCAAGGTTGTTGGGGGGCATGGGGGTTTTTTTTTCCCCTGCAAAATAGGGAAGGGGTTTTTTTTAATCTCCCCCCCCCCCCCCCCCCCCCCCATCCTGTCGGTAGTTCTCCTTGTTTAGAAAGCGTGTTGGCGTTTTATATATCTCCCTACAAGCCTGACGTAATTTTCATTGGTCAGCCGATCAGCCGGTCGATGCCACCACAAATAAACACACACACAAAACAAACACGCATACACGGACGTTTTTCCATTGGTCAGCCGGTTAGCGCTGTCGATGCCGACAAAAACAAACACACACACGCGCGCGCGCGAACGTCTTCCCCCCCCCACAAATGCTGACTTCACTTCATGGCCAACCGATTAGCTCGGTCGATGCCACCTACTCAACACACAAGACATGCACACCGACGTATTTTCGTTGGTCAGCCGGTCAGGCCGGTCCATGTCAAGTGAAGTGAACAAACCCGCACATATCACACAACCACACTGGGGGGAGCAATGACGAGAAACCGTGTCCGGGCTAATTATTCCTCTAAAAATCTAAGATTGGCGTCTTTTCATTGGTCAGCTGGTCGGTCAGCACGGTCGATGCCAATGAATCGAACGAGACAAATACATTCATAATGATAGTGTTGACGGACTCGCCTAAAATTACACAAATTACTCGCTAATCGATATCACTCTATGCCACATCATATCGTATCGACTTAGGTCCGCCTGTACACTTACTGCTGTACTGGTAGTACCCTTACCGCACGTCAGTCCCAGCGGACGTTGGACAACAACAACACGTCGCCACACAAACGTCGAACAAAAATGTTGTACGCAAAAATGGTGAGAGGACTTACACCCACACGCCTGCCGCCCCCGCCCCCCCCCACCCTGCTGTGGGAGGCCTAGACGCCCGTGCACGTCCAACGATGCTATTTCTTCTCGCAGGCGTAGCACTCATTGGACACCACGCCCCTCCCCCTCCGCCCCTTCCTTTCCAGGTGCATGTCACATAACGCCGTCACCGCATGGGCACCGATGTCCCGCCGCCACCGGCAGCACTCGCACCATCTCTACCCCCACTCTCACCCCCACCCCCACCATCAGGCGCTCCATTGGAAGCCCTACCACCAGCAGCACCGGCGGCGGCAGCGCCACGCCCGACAGCTAAGGGGCGCTTGCGCTGTGTGTGGACGGAGAGGAGGGCGCGGGCCACCATGGACAAGTATTGGAGGGGGTGGAGGGTGGAGGGTGGAGGGTGGAGGGTGGAGGGTGGAGCGTGGAGGAGGGTGGAGGATGGACGGAGAAAGGGGGCAGGAAGGATGTGGACCACTATCATCACCACCGTCGCAAACAACAAGGGGCTTGAGACGATTCCGTGCCTGCTGCTTCGGCTCCCGGTTCCCCTTCCTGCACCTCTTTGCTCCTCCCCCTCTCTCTGCCTACCGCAATCAATCAACCAAGCGGTTGCCCACGCTGCTTGGTAAGGGAGACAGACGGGCTCTTCTTTGCCGCGTACTAGCAACCCGGCACGAGGCGGACCTTGCACCCCCCCTACCACCACCACCACCACCACCACCACCATGTCTTCGCCGCAATACGAAATGCCGCAAGCAAGTGGGCCAAATCACCCACGTAGCAACAGCAACCGCCCACTCTTCGCCTTCCAGAAGGGGATGCCCGGTGCACCGTATTTCCCGTATTCCGCCGCCATGAAAAGTCGACGGCTTCCCCCAAAACATGAGCACCCCCCCACGTGTGTGGGCATATCTCATTGTGGATCTATGATTTTTTTTTTTTGCCGACGTCGCCAACAGACCCGCTAAAACACACCCGGGGGGGGGGGGGGGGGGGGGGGGGGGGTTTGTGTGTGTGTGTGTGTTTTTTTTTGTTATTATTATCATCGACCGCGCTAACCGGCTGAACAATGAGAAGACGCCAGTCTTCGTGCGGTGAACACACCAAATAACTTCTGCCATGTGTGAGTGTGAGTTTGCGACCTGACTTGACC